AACAGTCGATGAGTACTAATGATTTGAGAGTAGAGGTCCACAACGACAAAAGCGGTGAGACCACGAGAGGATATTTAGTTGTGTATGTATATTCTGTTTAGCTTTGCAAAATTAAAATGCACTTCAGGCACTTAAACGTAACATAAGTAGTTTTTAAGAAACGACGTATAAAGGGAGGAGGACCGCTTAAAATGCGGTCGTTGAGTCGAAACCATGAGTGGAACCGCTGGAAGGTGGCTACGCGACGGCGTAGGTGGAACTTAATGCCAGGAATGAAATTATGTGGAAAGAGAAATTGACAGACGAGTCTAGATTTACGGACCGAACTATCGACAAGTACGCCACGGAACAAGTATCTTTACTTTACACAGTGATGATGACTTTATGCAAGTCACGAAACGTCAGTTTCGTGTTTCATGGCTTGCGTTACACTGAGGCACGACAACTGCATCTACTCAGGGTATTTAGAAATTGTCATGACCAGCTTTCCAGGTTCACAATGTTCAGAATTTGGTCGAAGAACAAATCCCATGTCTCATCAACACCATGGAGACGAGTTGGGACTGTTGTTCTGCATAAGGGTGGATTCTGGTCAACATTATCAAATGGATTAATATGCCTTTCTATTTTAAAGTTAGAGTACCTTGGAGTAGAATAGTCGGAAGCCAATTTCGCTAAAATGAATGACAATAAGGTGATTTCCATTGATTTGGTGGGGTTTGTGGGTTGTGGGACCCGGTTATTGGTTAACAGTGTAGGACGACTTGCGATTCTTGAGGAAACTACCTCACCTCTGGCATCTTCCAAAGAAATGCCGCAAAGAAAACTGTGTGCCAATTAGGTAATCCTTATAATCTTTCGTTGTAATAAGTGCAGAAAAGGAACGCACACAAACTGTTCGCTAGCTTATGCCTTACTGGTATGAATCGGACGGTAGTAGCCTAGGTCAGCATGAGATTAACAACTGAACTAGAATAGGCGATTATGCAAGAATCTACTGTCGCAAATTTTACCAAGTCGGGTAACGAGCGACTCACCCGTTCCGACCCCCGGGTATCTTGCTTATCAGTGTTGGAGACGCAGACAATTCAAACGAGATAGCTGTGCTCTGTTTGACGGACGACGCGTCTCCCTAAACGAAAACACTTCTTCGTTTCTGGAAAGCAGCGGGCCAGTGACAGTTCGGTGGTTC